ATGTTGTACCTCGTTCCTTTCCTTCAGGGAACAGTAGTTATATGCATAACATTACGTTACCAAGTTAGCCATGTGTGTTTAGAAGTCTAAATGCTGTTGGATAGAAACTATTCTTGAGTCTGTTCGTTCTGGTCCTAACAGTCCTGAACCTTCTACCTGATGGTCCTAACAGTTCTGAACCTTCTACCTGATGGTCCTAACAGTTCTAAACCTTCTACCTGATGGTCCTAATGGTCCTGAACCTTCTACCAGATGGTCCTAACAGTTCTGAACCTTCTACCTGATGGTCCTAATGGTCCTGAACCTTCTACCTGATGGTCCTAACAGTTCTAAACCTTCTACCTGATGGTCCCAACGGTCCTGAACCTTCTACCAGATGGTCCTAACAGTTCTGAACCTTCTACCTGATGGTCCTAATGGTCCTGAACCTTCTACCTGATGGTTCTCTAACAGTTCTGAACCTTCTACCTGATGGTCCTAATGGTCCTGAACCTTCTACCTGATGGTTCTCTAACAGTTCTGAACCTTCTACCTGATGGTCCTAACGGTCCTGAACCTTCTACCTGATGGTCCTAACGGTCCTGAACCTTCTACCTGATGGTCCTAACGGTCCTGAACCTTCTACCTGATGGTCCTAACGGTCCTGAACCTTCTACCTGATGGTCCTACCGGTCCTGAACCTTCTACCTGATGGTCCTACTGGTCCTGAACCTTCTACCTGATGGTCCTACCGGTCCTGAACCTTCTACCTGATGGTCTTAACAGTCCTGAACCTTCTACCTAATGGTCATACCATTCCTGAACCTTCTACCTGTTGGTCCTAACGATCCTGGACCTTCTACCTGATGGTCCTAACACTCCCGAACCTTCTACCTGATGGCCTTAACAGTCCTGAACCTTCTACCTAATGGTCCTAACAGTCCTGAACATTCTACCTGATGTTAGCTGGACAAACAAACTCTTCCTGGGGTGTGATGAGTCTCTGTGTATGTGTCATGCTCTCTGGAGGCAACGGGTCCTCTTTATTTCCTCCAGAGAGGGCAGAGGGCACCCAACAATGTCCTGAGCCACCTTTATCATTCTCTGGAGTGCTTTCTTCTGAGCCACTGTGCAGCTGGAGAACCACTCACTTAGACAGTAGCTCAAGACACTTTCAATGGAGCAGCGGTAGAAGGTCACCAGCAGTCTCTGGGTGATGTTATTCCTCTCAAGGACCCTGCTCCTTGGTGTTAACACCCCAGCTTAAGTCCTCTGAGAGGTGAAACCCCAGGGAGCCAAAGTCCAAGACCCTCTCCACACAGTCCCCATTGATAAGTAARGGCAGAATATCAGTCCATTTCCTCCTAAAGTCAACAACCAGTTCCTTAGTTTTTGTTGTGTTCAGAATCAGGTTGTTGTCTCTGCACTTCTAGGCTGACTTCTGGATCCCAGGGGTTCTGTTCAGGCTGGGCAACAGGCCGCTGATTATATGGAGGACAATTATCGCAAATAATAATCACTATAAGATTTGTGTCTTTTTGATATAATAAACCCCGCCCACATCGATGGGGCACGCTGCTGAAAGCAAACACAACTGGACTAGAATAAGACCAGGCCGACTGTGGCTGGGCCAGGCCTTACAATGCAAGACTGCCATTAGTTTTAACTTTTAGCAAAGTGTTTTTCTGATTTTATCTTTTACTATTCTTTTTGTTTTAACATCATTTTATAATTTTTATGTGATGTTTCATTTTTTTCTATTTCTATGGGATATACAGTATTTTAACTATAAATAAATTAATTTAGAAGTCACCAAGATATGGATAATTATTTGGCACTCGATCCAACCCCCCAAATTCTTAATATAATCTTTTAATGACCTTCCAGGGCCGGTCCTGCCGGTACTACCATGGTGTTCAGAGGATGCGGGACCAGCACACACTACAGCGGGCTCATGGACTGAATGAAGCATGGGACATTGAGGACCTGGTCTCTCTAGGGAAACGGCTCCACTCGTGCTCTTACTACGCTGCTCGTGAACTCATGCAGGGGGCTTCCATCATCTTTTGTCCTTATAACTACCTGCTGGACCCGATGATCAGGGAAAGTGTGAGTAGAAGTAGGAATTTAATGTGGATGAGCTGCAGAAGCACCAGGAGGAAAGTTGCAGACAAAGACTTCTGTCAGTTTTGATCTGTGTTTTACCAGATGGAGATTGACCTGGCAGGCCAGATCCTGGTTCTGGACGAGGCCCACAACATTGAAGACTGTGCAAGGGAGAGCGCCAGCTACACTGTAGATCACAACTCTCTGCAAATGTCCATAGATGACCTGGATGGCATGGTCAAATGTAACATTAGAGGCTCCAAGCATGAGAGTCTCAGAGACTTCTGCTATGTTCTTCTGAAGTCAGTCATTTAGTAAGACTCCTCATCGTCTCATAGTAGAGTTTTGACCTTTAGTCAGAGTTTCCTTGTTTTCTGTGCAGCTGGATGAAAGAGAGCCAAGCCTTGCTGTCTGAACGTGGATATGAGGTTGCCTGCAAAGTCTGGAATGGAAAGGATATTCTGAGCATCTTTCATGACTTGGGCATAACAGCTGACAGCGTCAAAAGGCTGGAGGTATTAACTGCCTTACCTGTTGAACTAATAAAAGATCTGTCTGAAGACTTGTAAACATGTTGACAACTACTTGTTTTTGACAGCAACACCTGTCAGGTGTGTTGGAGAAGGAGGAGCGTGTTGGTGTGGTCAATGGTAAGGAGGACATGGTATTGGTCCCAACCATAAACTCCTCTACCTCCGCTGTGCTCAAGAACCTCTTCATGGTCCTGGATTTTCTCTACAGGAACAACCGCCGGTCAGAGAGCAAGAATATTTCTAAGTCCTTCCTCATGCTGGGTTCTCAGTCAACCAGTAGTTCAGGAGCTTTGTGTGTCTGCAGGTTTGCTGAAGATTACCGCATAGCTTTGCAGAGGACCTATGCCTGGACAAATCAGGTCCCGCCTGATGTCCCTGATGCCCGTGGCTTTTTGGTCCGGGCGCGCCCTCGACATCGCCAGAACGTGCGGGTCAAGAAAGAAGTCCTAACTCTGAGTTTCTGGTGCCTCAACCCAGCTGTGGTAAGAGGCTAGCGCGTCACACTGACCTGTTTCTGAGTCCTGCAGAGAAACCGTGCTTCACCTGGCTTTAAAGTGACGAGCAGTTTCTCCTCTTCCTCAGTCTTCATGTTGATCAAACAAGAGATCGGTTTCAGCTCAGAGCTTTCATTCTTGTCTTACTTTTGTTCTTCTTAGGCTTTCTCTGACTTGAGTGGGCTGGTGCACAGCATTGTGCTGACATCAGGAACTCTGTCACCCATGGACTCGTTTTCCTCTGAACTGGATGTGAAATTTAGCATTCAGCTGGAGGCCAACCATGTGATCAAGAAATCTCAGGTAAATCTGAAACATGTGGCCTATTTGACAATGTAAACATGAGTATTTATTAGAAAGGTTTAGAAACGGTTTTCCTGATGAATGACTGTTTATGTGTTGCAGTTCCACGCTAGTCCTGCAGAGGGCAGWTTCTCAACACAGTGTTGTAAAAAGTCCTAAACAAGAGTTTGGACTAGGGCTGCAACTAACGATTATTTTAATAATCGATTAATCTGTCGATTATTTTTTCGATTAATCGGCCAAATCATTAAAACGTATATATAAGTAGATATAAATTAATTTCATTCCTGTATAAATTAGGGATGCAAGTTATCGATTAATGAGTTAATCTGAAGTTGGTTTATCTTATAG